GTTTAAATTTAAAAAAATAATGAAAACAAGTGAATTTTTTATGTAATTTTTAGGAGGGGCACAATTAATTATGTCGTAACTTTTGAAGCACACCATATTCTGATTTGAAATTTAATGGGAATTTAGCATTTATGTGTACACATCATATGTAGTAAGTAAGAAAAGTGTGCATTTAAAAATAACGAAATGGCAAGTAGCTCAAAGCCTGTAACTCTACATTTCACAATTTTCCAAATTTTCGGTTTATCGCGTATAATTTTTGAAGCATTTAATTTTCAGAACTTTTTAAGCATGCGTTGTATTCTACAAACAATTACGAATAATTTGTTGCCTTAGCAAGAGGTATGCATTCAGAACAAACCAACTTTTAAAGATAAAATATTCTGCGACCTTTTGCGTAATTTTTATTTCAAAAAATCTTAATTGAAGGCACATTTGGAAAATACGACGAAACGGTCTAAATCTTTCTATAATTGCTAGTCCTTATAACGTTAGATATACCTGTAAAATGCTTCAAAAAAAGTTTCTCTAGAAGTGTGTAAAAACCCTGATTTAGTACTTTTAATGATGCTCCTTCTTGTAGTCAGAATGTTTCGAGCGTGGTATCAAATACAATTTTTTTCGACAAAGGTTCTGATAGTTGCTCTTACTTAATAGGGGTCTTCTAAATTCAGTGGCGTCCCCAGTTTTTCCCGAATGGCTCCACTTTTGGAGATACGGTACTTGAAACTTCGCTTAAATTTTAACTATTGTATAAAAAAAGCTTCCTCTGTTTTGAAGATATTTTACTAAAATATTGCACACGATTTTACTTTAATATTTCTTTTGATATCTCTTAAAATCATCGAAATCGGTTCACTCTGACATATAGCTCCCATACAACTGATTGTTCAGAGACGTTGTTTAGCGTTTTAACTCCTCCAATTAAGCAGGTAAAAATTTCGTATAGGTTCACTTTATCATATAGCACGCATACAATTTATTATTCAGATATGAAGTTGGAGGTATAGCGCAAAAACACACATCTGAGTCAGTTGTGTTGGAGCTATATGTTAGTGTGAACCCATTAATAATTAAGGTAATATTAAAAAACCGTTATGTGCAAAATTTTAGTAAAATAACTTCAAAACTAAGGGAGTTATTTATAAAATAGTTAAATTTCATGAAACGGGGTGTGCCATTGAATTTAGAACATCCCAATTAAGAGAGTTCAACTTTCAAAATCTTTGCTCTTATTCTTTTGTTTTCTAGGTTTTCATGTTTATTACTCGTCTAACTTTCGAAGCACTTGATGAAAATGAATAGCACTTATATTAATCGGTTTACTAAGCGATTATGAATAAAATGATATATAAAAGAGAGATGTGCTCACAAATTTAAAAGTTAACATTTTTTTTTTGGAAAGTGTACCTATTTTTTACCTCCTTTTTATTAGCTCGGGATGTAACTATGTAATATTGATGCGCCTAAAAGATGCAGCGATTTCTATTCTCAAGTTACATACCTGATGACAGTACGAATGGAAATTATAATAGCGAGTTTTTAGTTTTTTAAACTATAATTTTATTAGATTTGCCCACATGCGCACGGCAAAGCATAAAAGTACGTTTACATATAAATATAATCCCAATCAAATCTCGTTAGCTGTCAAATTGGTTGCGCTTGTTATTCATACAATTTGAGGAAAACTTAAGCTTCTTCTTTGTGCCACCGTGGTTACTTTTTTCTCCTACACATATTATGCTATTTAAATATATTTTAACTTTATATTTTATTAAAATACCTTTACAAACCTGTTTTCCTCGCTAGCGTCATTTTTTGTTTACTTTTACTTCTTCGCAAGTAAACGATAAAAGTGGGTTGGTTTAATCTGGGATTATTTTAAAATTATAATTTTGTATGGCTAATCTCCCTTTTCTAATTACAGATTAGGGAGTTAAGCTCGAAAATGAGGATAATATTTTTATATGTAAACCTATTATTAGGCGATTCAGTTACATACATAGACATGTAGGTTAGGCTAGAAATAAAACTTCAATATATATATATTCGTAGCATGGTTTTGGGCATATGTTTAGCAGTCTTGATAAAAAGCAAGGCAAAACTTTAAAAAATACTGAAATCATTTTAACTGGGTCCGTTGATAACTGATGAGCTATGGGTGATATAATAGCTCTGATCTACCACTTTTCGTGTTTAATACTGTAAAAGGTCAAACATCAAAATCACTCTCTGAAGTGAGAGTAAAAAGTTAGCAACAGCAAAAAGTACGGGCACAAAAAAGCATCGGGTAAAGTCTTTCATTTTCATTCTCTACTCAACTCTCCAAAAATCTCTCTCATTTACATCATTTTGGAGTATGGGATCTATTTTCCTGTAACTTCCTGCAAGTTCGTGTAAAAACCTGTAAGTTCATTGAGTACTGGATCAGAGCTAATACAAGATTGCACAAAGAGAAGACAAGAGTAAGAGGAAATTCCGAACAAATAAATTTAGCTTCGCATTTTGCAAACAAAAGATAGTATGTTATATGCAGGGAACGGATTTTTAGGACCTAAAAACCTATAAAATAGGCAAAATAAAATAACGAAATAGGCTGGAAAAGTCAAAATAAAATAGCGAAAAAAGCAGGAAAAGCCACTAGGTACTCCAAAAAAGGCAAAAACAGGCAAAACAAAATAGCGAAAAAGGCAGGAAAAGGCACTAGGTATGGCAAAAAAGGCAAAATAAGGTACTAAAAAAAAGACAGAAAATACGAAGAACAATAAAAAAATACAGTTATTTTAGAAATTTTATATTACAAGTAAAAAGAGAAAAACTATGAACTACTTTCATTATATGAAAAATGTGTACTTTGAATGTTTGACTATTTTATCCTTTCGAGTTTCTAACTCATAAAACTTTAATCTGTACAGTTGTAGTAACATTGAACCACAAGATACATTTTGAAGTTTTGTGGCAGTATTTTCATTCGATTTTCGCGAAAAAAAAACCTTGAATGTACTAAATGTGCGCTCGACGTAAGTTGATACAAGTGGAGCCCAATTTAAATATCGAACGTTTGAAAAGTTCATATTATCAGGAATAAGGGCATTTTCCTCGCTCTTTACAATTTTATCCACATCCCTTATTGTCTCCAAGCCTACGTTAGCTGAGAAAACGGCTTTGAATTTTTCCAACACCAATTTGGCATGAGGTCCCTGCGCTTCTATAAGCTGCATAGGCATGTGTATATTTTTTAATATTAAAAAAAATTGTAAATGCTATAGTCACTTTTTTAAAGGTAGAAAAGGCAAAAAAAGGCAAATATCTTAAAAAAGGCAAAAAAAGGCAACATTAAATGTGTATACACGGAATCAGGGAAAACTAAATCGTGGACATTCTTAATCGAATATACTCTATCTGTTTAGCAGAAAAAAAGGTAATTTCCATAAAATCCGTTCCCTGGTTATATGTATTCATGACTTTAACGTAAACCTAGCGACAGATGAAGCAGAACCACAGATTAAATTCCTAAAAGAAAAACTAGATTTAGGAATATATACAAATAGAAATGCTCAAACTACAAACTCAAAAACAGTAATCGATGCGGTATTTTCAAGATATTTTAACGCCCTTGAGTCACAAGTATATACAAGTATCATATTTTATCAATCATGCCGATAATTTCATACATTAAAAGAATTAAAAATTAAATTAATAAAAAAATAAATTAAATCAGCGATTTGAATAAAATTAAGTGACATTAATGTTTAATTTCTAACCTAACCTTCATGTCTATGTATGTTACGGAATCGCCTAATTATAGGTTTACATATAAAAAGATTATCCTCGTTTTCGAGCTCAACTCCTCAATCTATAAATAGAAAAAGAGATTAGCCATACAAAATTTAGATAATTATAATGTTATCTCAGATTAAACCGATAACTTTTTGGTGTCCAACCTAGTTTTACCGATTATACTTACCAAGAAGAGGAGGGACGTCAAATTTAAAAGTAAATAAAAAATGACGCCAGCAAGAAAGAGGTTTGTAAAGGTATTTTTAACAAAATATTAAGTTAAAATGTATTTAAATATCATAATATGTGTAGCAGAAAAAAGTGACCACGGTGGCACAGAGAAGAAGCTTAACTTTTCCTCGAGTTGTGAGAATAACAAACACAACCAATTTGACAACTAACGATCTTTGATTGAGATTATATTTATGTATATATAAACGTACTTTTATGCTTTGCTTTTGCTTTTGAGAAAAAAATAATAATTTTATAGTTCACCAGAAAAAGTTCAGTGCGAAAATCATGATATTAAGAAGATTTTTGGCAAGTTTCGAAATCAATCTCGACCTACCATGTGTTTTAAATCTAAAAATGTAAAAAAATGTCTAAAGGATATCTTTTAATCCAGAGATTTAAAGCGAACATTTCAATTTTATAAAAAAAGACTGAACTGCAAAAATTATGATAAGGAAAAGTGATAAAAATTATGATAAGGAAAAGTGGAAAAAGGTAGGGATGTCAGTGGCAAAAATACAACGACGTTTTCTTTGATTCGATGCATCGAAATGTATATCGATATTTTTCGATGCATCGATTTGCATAGGATTTCTCAGATAATGTTTTACAACAAAATATGTTATTAGCACAATCGTACAAAATTTGAAATAAGTTACTACAACTGAGCTAATTATTTTTCTAACGGAACTTTTTGGAGCCATTTTTCCTTTTTGTACAATTGAAAAGATAATATGAATAAGCAAACGTATGCAAACGTATGTATGTAACACATGCAGTGTTGCCGCTTTGATAATTTTTTACTGTAATTGGTAATTTTTTCCTTTGGTTAACATATTTGGTAATTTGGTTACTTATTTTTCAACTTAGTAACTTTATCGATTTAGTCCTACATGTAACATAGGTCAAAACAAGTTCTGGATCCACATTCGGAAGTGGGCCGTAAGCGTTTCCTTTAACAAAAATACCAAGTAATCCTGAAAGTTTCGCAAGGCAACACTGAACACATGTAAGTAAAATATAGCCACCTAAAAGTCTACACTACGTTCCTTATGGATTTAACAAACTATACTTCATTTTCTGACAGTCAGTTACGGCATTCACATTATAGTCAGCCCTAAAATTGCAATGACGGTTCAATGTACTAGAGGTGTCAGTTTTAAAAAAACATCGACTATTTACACATCGAGTGGAAAATTTTCGATGCATCGAATCATAACATCGATATTTTTGATGAATCGATATTTTTCCGACATCACTAGGTGAACGACAAAGTGAAATAATTTCGAAGGCTACACCCACATAGCTGTATCACCCAAATGTTTTCTGTGTCGAGGTAAAAAATTAAAATTTGCCTTTTGTTGCTTACGATTCAATTGAAAATAGAGCAAGGTGCATATTTTTTATCTTCCACATACACTTTTAAATCTTATAAACACATTAGAAAGCAAGAGTTTCAAGTGATTGCAGATGCAGTTGCATAACGGAAAATTGCATTTTTAAGCATCCAATTAAAGAAAATTTTGACGAAACTTTGTTAAAAACTATAGGTAAAACTGGTATCCACAATAAAGTTCTGTACCTACTCACAGTGTCCTTACGCGGGTACGCAAAAATATAAACAAAGCAAACGATAAAATTCACTTTGCTTTTTCTTTTTCGGTACATATTCAAACTCTATTATTCTGCAGGACGATGTAACTAGTCTTTATAACCTATTTTCAAAAAAAAAAGTTTTCGATAAATCTATAAAGCATATGGAAATTCCAGAGTTGTAGAGAATTTCAAACCGTGACAATGTAAAACTTTTTCGCAGTTTTTGTTAATTTTTTACAATAAACAATTCTATTTTTCAAAAACCTTCTATATAACAAATGTGGGTAATTAAATTCTCTACATATTTCTATTTAGCCATTTTTTAGGGAAAATGCAAAATAAGCTTGAAAATCGCAAAAAACAAAATAAATCGAAGATGGCGGAATGTTGCCGAATGAAATTTAGGGGCAAGTCCATGATCTACGTGTCAAATAGAAGTAAACTGCATAAAAAAATTGCTGTTGCAATTTTTTTAAGAAAAAGTCTAATTTTACTGGGCTAAATTGTCGCTTACGATACAATCGTAAAAAGGGCGCGATTTTTTTCATTATGGCGTCCTAGATTGCCTAAATCTCATACTGTGCACCGCATGACGTAGACATTGCTTCCCTCTCTCTATCAAGAGCAAACTTGATATGTTTCTACGCACTTCTACGCTACGCTACGAACACGTTCGTGGGTAACCGCGCTATTAATTTCTTCATGATCCGATCTAAACCAAATCAGTATGTGACCACCTCTGAGGTACCACCTTTCCTTTAAAAATAGAATTTTAGAAATCGGGTAACGTTGTTCAAAGTTATGCGGTAACATACATAAAAAAAATATTCCGATGAACTAATAACCTCCTCCTTTTTATGAGGTCGGTTAATAACAGGCTTTGTTATTGACAGGGCCGTCGAGAGCTGAACCGGGCCCCGGTGCATGTCGATTTCATGGGCGTCCTTCAAAAATAAACTCGATTCAGCCCCTCCTAGAACTTGGGTTGTAACGACCATATTATTATCAGTATATAAATTATATAAAATACGTACACATTTCAAAATCATTACTTAATAATCTAATAAATTTTCATTTTCGTCTTACAGATAAAATGTACAGTTTAACAGAGAAACAGCGCTATGATGGCTGGTATAATAACTTAGCGCATCCAGATTGGGGATCTGTGGGTGAGTACAAACGTACAATCAGACACTTTAGTATTCATTCTGTAGCTTAAAAACATGCAGGCAGTGCACGTTTAGCAGTTGATAAGCGTTTTACATTTGCATTCGAGCAACTACCCAGCAAAAACTTTTCTTTTTTTTGGTAAGCGCTTACTTTTTGTATCGATGGAGTAGAGCGTTTCAATACGCCTCAAGACAGAATCTTTCGCTTTCTCGCATTTTTAAAATTCCACGCTTACCTCTTATGATATGACTAGGTTAAAGTAATGTGTGTGAATCTGTGAATGCGTGGAATGTGTTGCTCACTCATTCTTTCCATACAAAAAAACTGTTGAACAAATTGCGCGAACAAAAAATTGCCAAAAATCAACGGTTAGTCCAAGCTTCTTCCAACTTGCACATTTGATTATACTAAAATTGAATGGTATACTCAAATAACTGTAGAAAATCTGATTAAAATGTTTCAAAATGTGATGGACATTTATTCAAATTCGTCCAATATTATGAATGTTCTACAAATTTTGATTTACATGCGTTTTTTAAATAGTAAGTTATATTTATTTTCATAAAAAAATAATAAACATTTTTCAATTTATTTTGCTCTTTGTTTTGTGCAGCTATATGCAGTTAATGAAACCTTTCATATTACATACCCAGCAAAAATTTGATACTTTAGTAAGCGCTTACTTTTTGTAGCGATGGAGTTACGCATTACAATACGCCTCAAGACAAAGATTTTCACTTTCTCGTTTACCCATTTTTAAATTTTCTCTCTTACCTCCAATGACTTCCCAGGTTAAAGTAATGTGTTCTGTAAACTAGAGGGTATGTGTGAATATCAACGTTAAGTCCTAGTTACTTAAAATTTGCACTTTGATTTGAATAGGTTACAAAACTGCATACTCAGAATGTGTTTAAGAAATCTAATTAAAAAGCTCAACATTTTTATGAAACTTTGTCGAATTTTGCTAAATTTTGTACGAAATTTCAAATTCTGACTTACATGGTGTTTGTTAGAAAACGAATCACACTTTCATAAAAAGGAATAAACATTAAATGCTAATCGAAAAGCTAATAGCCAAAGAAAGCTAAAATGTCTCTTCCCTATTTATATTTTCGCCACTCTATCTACAGCTTATGTTTTTCATATCCACGATTTTTTGAGGGTATAAGTATTATTTTATATAATTTCATATATTATTAATAAGGATGCTGGCTATGTTTATGGCTCACTTACATTTATTCCATGTCCTATGTGATAACGGAAGTGCTGCCTCGTTTGTACGAAAAATTGTTTTCGGGCCAGAGTAAAGGGAGAGTCTCAATAAATCAATAAAGAAAACATTGAAAATCGGGATTTAATCGGTACAAATATGAAAAATTGGGGCACTTATACGTGCCGACTTTTAAAAAATATTCAGCGGGACAATTTTCTTAAAATCGGTACTGTCCCGCCAAAATCGGTACGAATGGTCACCGTAGATATTGCTAAATACACGGTGTATGTGATCTGATTTGCACATTCGTGTGGAACGTGGCTCGTATGCAATACAAATGGATGATCGCTCACTAATCGCGAGTTAAATTTTCCATCACTGGGCGGGCGCCTAATGGGCTTTTGATTAACTTACGCCAAGCACGTTAGAAACGAAACCGTGGTTTATAGGATTAAGTTTTCGCTTTATCTGTTTTTCCAAACATATGCCTTTTCTTGCGCTAAATGTCAGATGTTGTTCTACACTGCAATGTTCTACACTTTTAGTGCACTCATCGAACATACCTTTTATTTCGCATCTACATCCTTCTGCATATTCCAAACGAGTACTAACAATAAATATGGGCAGATCCCACCGTTGCAGACGTTTCTTTTAATTTTGTCGTTGACAAAAAAAATACAAGTTAAAAAATATATTTGGTATAAGAGAAGGTTTAAAACTGTACTTGTGACCACTGTTGCCAACTTGGTGCTTTTCGCACTAAATTTAGTGCTTTTATTTATTGAAAACGCGAAGGTTTTTGAGTTTGGTGCTAGGTGCGTTTTCTGGTGCATTTTTTTAGTTAGACCAAATCTGTAAATCTTAAAAAAAACGAAGCTAAATTAATAGCAATTGCAAATATTTTAGCAACTTTACAAAAATGGAAACAATATCAATGACAATCGTAAGCGAGCGCATCTTTGCCAACAAATTTTTTACACAAACCGATTTTTCCCACTATGCGCTCAAATAAGGCACATTAAAAAGCGAAATCAAATTTCGTTATGTTTCAGGTGTCAAGCAGTCGAAAAGAAAAGTTCTTCATGTTCCTTTAGTTAACGAGATCATGAGAGACTGAAGTGTAGATTTAAACTACCAGATAGTTCATAAACGCGATTTTTCTTGGGTTTTAGGGCTTTTTGAAATTCGAAACTTGGCAACACTGCTTGTGACAATAAAACAGTGAACATTTTCATTTAAATTAATGGCGGTGTATTTACCCGGAGAATAAAATCTATGAGAATACATTTCGTGTGTTCGTTCCAAATTGTGTCTCAAAATGTAGGCGTCTACATTTACTAACCGTGGTGTTGTTGTTTCCCATAGAAAATGGGAAAATGATACCGTATACATTTTGTCACACTTAGGGCCAACTTCTCAATGTCTGGTTAACACTAACTAAAGGTTAAATATCGTTACCGACGTCATCGACTCCCTGTTGTATGTTATGGAGTGGATCACGTCGATAACGATGTTTAACCTGCAGTTATTGTTAACTAGACATTGAGAAACTGGCCCATAAGGGCAGCAAGGTTGCTTTATGGCAGCACCGATGGAGAATCTACAGGTGAAGTAATAAAACACCTTTCTTGCTCTATTTTGTCTTATTACTACACCTGATATTATTTCACCATGGATTTAATGCTTAAACCTATTCAGAGCTTTATTTCAAGAAATAAGATCGGTAAATCATATTTCTCAAATCAATCAAAGTGTAAAAGTGATGTATGTTTTTCTATGTCAAAAATGTGAGAACTAGAATTACATATACATATACATTTTTCCGTTTTTAGATGACTTTTTCTCGGATTTATATAAATATCTTCCACGATGGTATCCGAATACTTCATATTTGGAATGCTCTAAAAGTTGGCCTTGTGGTTCCAAAGGGCCACTACATTTCCAAGGTTGAATTTCACTCGCTCTTTCACTTTATGTGTGTTTTTTTTCTTTACTGATGCAGCCGTATTCACGTAAACTTACGTGTCTTTTTTTGGCTGGAGCATACCGTCACAGAGACTTTTGATTCCTGATGAAACATTCTAAATTTTTCAGGAGCATTGATTGCAGCCAGGCTATCAGAGTTGTAGGATACCTCCTTTACCTTGATCTTTATATCTACTGCTTCTTTAAGGGCAGCCACTTGTTCCCGATGCCCATACAATTTGTATGAAGCATCCCACAATAATGCGGCGCGAGCGCTGCGCAAATGGAATTTTCGTTTTTGATAGGAAGAGAGAGGAGGAAAAAGTAAAAGAAGAAATGAAAATAAAAAGAGTGGAAATGAGAAAAGGCCAAAAGTTACGCCGTGCTTATTTAGGTACAATGCGCGCTACCACTCGTTGGCGTTGGAAAACGCAACACTTAGCGCTCCAATTTAGTTATCCAATCTCTATTGTTATTTTTTTTCAAAATTTTAATATCAACTTTCCTTTCATAATAATTTTTCAGATAGCCACTTGGTGCGAAAAGCGCCACCTTCATATTCCGACGGAGTCTATGCCATGGCAGGTTCAAATCGCCCATCTACCCGACGGCTTAGTCGATTATTTATGGGCGGCCGGGATGGCTTAGCGTCCAAACACAATCGCACTGCATTCCTGGCGTTTTTTGGTCAGGTCGTAGCCAATGAAATTGTAATGGCTTCCGAATCGGGTTGCCCAATTGAGATGCATCGCATAGAGATTGAAAAATGTGATGATATGTACGATCGTGAATGCCGAGGGGATCGATATATACCATTTCACCGCGCAGCTTACGACCGTGATACAGGGCAGAGCCCAAATGCGCCGCGAGAACAGGTAAACTGATATGAGCCCATTTACACATCGAGGGCTTATATTCAATACCCTCTATCTGCACTTTTCACAAAAGTAAGGTTCTGAAATAAAAATCCACTTAAGACTTAACTGTCATCGGTGATATTAATGCTGACCTTTTATAACGCTATACAGAAGAATTTACTATAAAATTGCAAAGTCAGAATTAACATCAGTCCCAGATCGGTTCTAACATCAAAAAGTAGTTTTTGTGAATATTGCAGATAGAGAGTAATGAATATAAGCCCTCGATATGTATATATTCAATTATGAATACATGCATGCAAACTAAGTATGTAAGCATTTGCAATTCCAACTTTTTATAACTATGCCTGATTATCCTAAATAATTCTCTATTCTTCTCAGATAAATCAAATGACTGCTTGGATTGATGGCAGTTTCATTTACAGCACCTCAGAGGCATGGCTTAATGCTATGCGGTCGTTTCATAATGGCACACTAATGACGGAAAAAGGTGGCAAAATGCCTATCAAAAACACAATGCGCGTGCCGCTCTTCAACAATCCGGCGCCTAATGTGATGAAGATGCTAAGTCCTGAGCGGCTTTTTTGTAGGTTATTCTCTATTTTTTTCTTTTAAACTAAAAATACTCACTCATTTTTGGTCCTGTTTTTTTTATTTCTCAGTACTTGGGGACCCACGTACGAATCAAAATCCCGCTGTACTCTCTTTCGCCATACTGTTTCTACGTTGGCACAATACGCTTGCGCAGCGGATTAAACGCGCCCATTCCGACTGGAGTGATGAAGATATCTTTCAGCGTGCACGTCATATGGTGATCGCAAGCTTACAGAACATTATTATGTATGAATACTTGCCTGCTTTTTTGGGCTCCGGAATGAGTTCATATACAGGTTACAAACAGCAGATACACCCTGGCATTGGACACGTCTTTCAGGCTGCAGCTTTTCGTTTCGGACATACAATGATACCACCTGGGATCTATCGCCGAGATGCCAAGTGCAATTATAAAAAGACGCCCATGGGTTATCCGGCGATACGTTTGTGCTCCACTTGGTGGGACTCCAGCGTAAGATTACTTTTTATAATAGTAAAATATTTAAATTGAGTTTAATTGTTTTCTTTTTCTCAGGATTTTTTCACAGATACCACAGTCGAGGAGGTGCTACTTGGTATGGCTTCGCAAATTGCTGAGCGCGAGGACCCTGTGTTGTGCACAGATGTTCGCGATAAGCTGTTCGGTCCCATGGAGTTTACACGACGTGACTTAGGTGCTTTAAATATTATGCGCGGCCGTGATAATGGCCTACCGGACTACAACACAGCGCGCGAGGCTTTCGGGCTAATGCGTCGCAATGATTGGAGGGAAATTAATCCGCAACTGTTTGAGAAAAATCCAGATTTGTTAAAGTGAGTGTTTGAAACTTTTAGTTAAGTTGTATCCTTTAGTCATGTTAGAACTAGGGTGTGTTTGACTGTTTAGATTGGTATTAAAAATAAACCGCTCAGCTTCAGCAAGAATCTTTATACACTAAATGGGTGTTAATCTGCCTTTTAGGTTGAAAGGTAGATCTTTGTTTAGCTAAAAAACATATTCCTGTAAAACAGATATTAAAATGACTTGTACGATTTCCGACCATAACGAGAAAATACATTAATTCAACCCCCAAATCTTTCAGAATGCTGATTTCCGCCTACAACAATCGTCTCGACGATGTCGACGTCTATGTTGGCGGCATGCTCGAATCGTACGGCCAGCCAGGCGAGTTATTCACTATCGTAATAAAGGAACAATTCGAGCGTTTGCGTGATGCCGACCGGTTTTGGTTCGAAAATGAACGAAACGGAATTTTCACTCAAGAAGAAATCGAGGAATTGCGAGGTATAACCATGTGGGACGTCATAGTTAATAGCACAGACATAAACGAGTCCGATATACAAAAAGATGTATTTATGTGGCGCGAGAGCGATCCTTGTCCACAGCCCATGCAGCTGAATGCTTCTGAGTTAGAACCTTGTCAATACCTTGAAGGCTATGATTACTTTTCCGGCTCGGAATTGATGTTTATTTACGCTTGCGTATTTCTCGGGTTTGTACCCATACTTTGCGCTGGCGCTGGTTACTGTGTAGTAAAGTTGCAGAATAGCAAGCGACGCAAGCTAAAGATACGCCAAGAAGCCTTGCGTTCTACGCAAAATAAAGGTTCAGTTGATAAGATGTTGGCGCGCGAGTGGTTGCATGCGAACCACAAACGATTGGTGACTGTAAAGTTTGGTCCTGAGGCCGCTATCTACACAGTGGATAGAAAAGGGGAGAAGTTACGTACTTTCAGTTTGAAGAACGTGGAAGTGGTTACAGTAGAAGAATCATCAACAAATCACATTAAAAAAAAACCGTACATATTACTTCGCGTTCCCAACGATCACGATTTGGTGCTAGAACTGGAGTCTTATGGTGCGAGACGTAAATTTGTCAAGAAGCTGGAAGACTTTCTCTTCCTACATAAAAGGGAAATGACTTTGGTGGAAGTGAACCGGGAGATTATGCTAGCGCGCGCTGAAACGCGTGAAAGACGGCAAAAGCGATTGGAGTACTTTTTCCGCGAAGCGTACGCACTAACATTTGGCTTGCGACCAGGTGAACGACGACGACGCTCCGATGCCTCGACTGATGGCGAGGTGATGACGGTTATGCGCACCAGTTTGTCGAAGGCGGAGTTCGCGGCGGCATTAGGCATGAAACCGAATGACATGTTCGTACGCAAAATGTTTAACATCGTTGATAAGGACCAAGATGGGCGCATAAGTTTTCAGGAGTTCCTAGAGACAGTGGTGTTGTTTTCGCGCGGCAAGACGGACGATAAGCTCCGTATTATCTTTGATATGTGCGACAACGATCGCAATGGTGTGATCGATAAGGGGGAATTGAGTGAAATGATGCGCTCGCTGGTTGAGATGGCACGCACCACCAGCTTGGGTGATGACCAGGTTACCGAGCTGATTGATGGTATGTTCCAAGACGTCGGACTGGAACATAAAAATCACTTGACCTATCAGGATTTCAAGTTAATGATGAAGGAGTATAAGGGTGACTTTGTTGCCATCGGTTTGGATTGTAAAGGTGCCAAACAGAACTTCCTAGACACTTCAACCAATGTGGCGCGAATGACATCGTTCAACATCGAGCCGATGCAGGAAAAGCCAAGACATTGGATACAAGAGAAGTGGGACAACTACATAACCTTTTTAGAAGAGAACAGGCAGAATATATTTTATTTATTTCTTTTCTACGTCGTTACGATTGTGTTGTTCGTGGAGCGTTTCATACGTGAGTATATAAAGATTGGTACGTATTGTAGCGACTTTCTAATGAATTTTAATCCTTACAGATTACTCCTTCATGGCTGAGCACACTGATCTGCGACACATTATGGGCGTCGGCATTGCCATAACGCGTGGCTCTGCGGCTTCGCTGTCGTTCTGCTACTCTCTACTGCTGCTCACAATGTCTAGGTAAGAATTGAGACACGTCTATATAACACAGTAAGTTCGAGTTTTAAGGACTTTTTGCTTCTTTTTAGAAACCTCATTACCAAACTGAAGGAATTCCCCATACAGCAGTACATTCCGCTCGATGCGCACATACAGTTCCATAAAATCGCTGCTTGCACTGCGCTTTTCTTCTCGGTGCTGCACACCATTGGCCATATAGTTAATTTTTATCATGTCTCCACGCAATCTCACGAGAACTTACGTTGCCTCACGCGTGAGGTACATTTCGCCTCCGACTACAAGCCGGATATCACCTTTTGGCTCTTCCAGACTATTACAGGTAAGTTTTCACATATGTTTGTGCGCATATGAAAAATTACTCATGTATCCCATTATTATTCCATCAATCATGTAGGCACTACTGGCGTACTGCTATTTATTGTGATGTGTATCATTTTCGTCTTCGCCCATCCAACTGTACGTAAGAAGGCCTACAAATTTTTCTGGAACACTCATCAACTGTATGTAGGACTGTACTTGCTTTCACTGATCCACGGCTTGGCGCGTATCACGGGTCCTCCGCGCTTCTGGATCTTCTTCATGGGTCCTGGGATTATTTACACGCTTGATAAGATTGTCTCGCTGCGCACCAAGTATATGGCGCTGGATGTTATCGAGACTGATTTGCTGCCTTCAGACGTTATCAAAATCAAGTTCTATCGTCCACCTAATCTTAAGTATCTCTCGGGACAGTGGGTACGTTTGTCTTGTACCGCATTTCGGCCGCACGAGATGCACAGTTTCACGTTAACTTCGGCGCCTCATGAAAATTTCCTTAGTTGTCACATAAAGGCACAAGGTCCTTGGACTTGGAAATTGCGCAATTACTTTGATCCTTGCAACTACAATCCGGAGGATCAACCGAAAATACGCATTGAGGGCCCCTTTGGTGGCGGAAACCAGGACTGGTATAAATTCGAGGTGGCGGTAATGGTAGGTGGTGGCATTGGTGTCACGCCCTACGCATCCATGCTGAATGATCTTGTGTTTGGCACCAGCACGAATCGATATTCGGGTGTGGCATGCAAGAAGGTATATTTCCTCTGGATTTGTCCTTCTCACAAACATTTCGAATGGTTCATTGACGTATTGCGCGACGTGGAAAAGAAAGATGTCACAAATGTGTTAGAGATACATATTTTCATAACACAATTTTTCCATAAGTTCGATCTGAGGACCACCATGCTGGTAAGTTGGCGGACGTTGATCAAAGATTTTAATGAGTATTTCATTAATTTTTATGTGTATGTATATATATATTTTTTTCAGTACATTTGCGAAAATCACTTCCAACGTTTATCAAAAACGTCAATTTTCACGGGTCTTAAGGCAGTTAATCATTTCGGTCGACCTGATATGTCAAGTTTTTTAAAATTCGTGCAGAAAAAGCATTCATATGTAAGTATACTTTCATGAGAGCAATTTGGAATTAGGAAAGTTCTTTAGTTAGCGATTTAATTAGCGACGATAAACTTTAACTAAAGTGTGTGGTAACTTTTTACTAATAATTTTGACAAATATTATTCAGTATCTTATTTTCTAAACAAGACTAGTTCTGTTTTAGAGGGGTTAATAGGGATACAACATCACTCAAAAAAACATTGATGTTTGAACATCAAGAGCAAAACCTCAGATGTCGAAAGTATCGATGTTTATGAACGATGCATCAATGTTTTTAATAAATTATTGGTTAGTTTAATTTTTAGTATAATAATAAATAGATCAGATCTAAATATATAACAATTAAATTTATATGTCAAAGGTCAAAAACAATTATTTATATACATATGTACATATATGTTTGTCTGCCGGAGTATTGTTGCCCCAGCCTATGAAGACAACCGTTAATTTGTGACTAAGTTTGCCACGATTGGCAAGCAGAGCATAGCGTTGTTGTATAGGCACGGAAACGTTATACACATGTTTGTGGTTTCCCAATGTCACGTCCCATGCTATTATCCGTCTCAGATTCGTCAGAGGATTGATTGATTGTAACTGAAACATACCAGGATAGATATGAATTGCTAAAGATAATAGTGAAAATGCATATCCACTTAATGGACCTTTGCCCGTGAAAAACGTTGCAACTTTGAACGTTGCGTCTTGTATTCTGTCAGCTGTAGCAGTGTTGCCACAAACTCAAGGCATGCATAATTTTGGTAGTGTAGAATTACTGACGCAAATGGCATACAGATGGCGGTAGCGTATGGTGCCCACACTCACCGACGGAAATGTACGTTAACGTGTCAGCTTACACGATCAATCTTATGAGAGCACCATGCAAATGAAATCTCACCATCGTGTACGTGCGACGGTTACGCGTGACGTGTACTGCTTCTCTCTCTCTCTATCAGCAGTAAATTTTATTTTGCTACGTCAAACAGACACGACATACGTACACGTCGGTGAATGTGGACACCTTTAATCCAACTACGGCCATCAATCTGTGGTTTAGAGAAACGTAAATTGGTAAAACGTAATTGGTAAATGTATAACTGGGTGTTTACATGAAGCGATTTCACAGACGAATAGTTGAATTAAAAGTTGGGTTCTGACCAACTTCATTTAACGCTATTTGTTGAATGAGCCCAGGCGATTGTTGCTTTTAACTAAGCCAGCAAGTTTCATTTTACCAAAAACATCGACGTCGGAACATCGTGCATCAATGAACGATGTATCGATGTTTTGGGGTCTGAACATCTATGTTAAAATATCGATGTTTATGAACGATACATCGATGTTTGGAAACGTCGGTGTTGGAATTGCATCCCTAGGGGTTAACCGCTTCCATCCTGTCTTACACACCTAATACTACTTCGTTGATTATCGTATCGCAAAAGATAATTTTTCTGATTGAAGTTGTCGGCTTGTGCGACAAACTTTGTTCTCTTGTGAATTAAAAGGATTCATTACTTGAATTTTAGAGATTTCTAAATAGTATTTCAGCGAGCGCAATAGCAAAAGATCTGTCGAGTTACAGTTACTCCCATCATGAACTCTTGCTCCATGAAGACGTAAAGCTGACGCATGAGGCTTTTATCTCACCAAATTACGAACGGGCAATTGAAAAAGGTCAAACTTCTGTCAATCGAGAATAGATTTAGATAAATTCATATTATTTTACATCTCATGTAACAACCCGGGTGAGCTTACCCATCTATGCCGATACAAAATCTTTTTTATTGGCCAACGCCAAAAAACTCGGCATTGTCATCTCTTCTTTGCGAAGTTCGGGCAATTATTCATAAATATGTACCAAGACTTGATTCTTCCACTATGCTCGTGAGCGTCTAGATTTTGCGTAGAACCCGATTTGAACTTGGTTAATAAATTCCAAAATTTAAGCGGATAAAGTGGTGAAGTTTTTCTTCAAATTGTAACCAAGCAGTTTTACGTAACCTAAATTAGAGTTTGAAAACAAACGAAATGAATCGTATTGTTTCGTTTCACTCATTATAGAGAGAAAAACACAATCGAAACCCAAACAAAGAAAACAGGAACCATACCTATTATAAGAGAAAAGACTAAAAATCAATCAATAATAATTATATTATGATAAAAATTCTTCGAGTCATCTATAATTACACAGGTCTAAAAAAAAATTGATGAAAGTTTCCTTTGACCAAACCTAGTCTGTTTTTGGGGTCGCTGAACACGAATCTGAAGTCCGTTTTTTATAACCTCAAAAAACACTCGGATTTTACGTAACAGGGAAAATCCGAGGTGTTTTTTGAGGTTAGGAAAAAATATAGAAGCGATGAAGCAAAACGGACTTCAGATTCGTGTTCAGCGACCCCAAACACATATGATAGACTAGGTTTGGTCAAAGGAACCTTTCATCGATTTTTTTTGTGGACCTCTTTTATTGTTCAAGGACTTATATTATAAAAGGCCTTTCATAATAATTACACTGGATCACACATTATAGTTTGATTTTTGTTCTCCAGACGCCACTACCCAATTTCTATGTAGAATTGCTTGGTGATTCCGAAAATCGAGTTAATTTCTTTTCTATGGATACGTTTTCGAGATATTTGCCATTTACCGTTATTCAGCTTAAAGCAAACATTGGTTCCTTTTAATCACGTATATCCTACGAACCAATTTAAAAATCGTATATCTATATAAAATACGGCAAATGAAAGCTAAAAAAATTCTCCATAAACCATGCATACACCACTTTCCGATAGGACTGATAGTTTCTGACGAAAAATTAATCATTCCAGTTTTTTTTTATTTTTTAATGAAAAAATTAAAAAAGTCAAACTTTAACAGAAGAAAAATTAAAATAGTAACAGGTTCTGTGCAAAATTTTTGCATTTGTAAAAAAAAGGTCAAGTTACTGATGAAGAACATCGATGGATAAATACGAAACAGTGAGTGGTCAAATGAAAATGCGCAAAGATTTTTTGTATGAAATATCAACAGAAAAGCGAGTTACTCAGGTGTACGTAGCGTATGAGTAACTTTCTTTTTTCACTTTTTTCATACAAAAAATCTTGTGTATTTTCATTTGACCACTCATTATTTCTTATTTATCCATCGATTTTCTTCCTTAGTAATTTGATTTTTTTTAACAGAACAAGCTTTAGTACAAATGCAAAGATTTGGCACAGAACCTGTTATTTTTTAAATTTTTCTTCTGTTAAAGATTGATTTTTTTCATTTTTTCATTAAAAAGTAATAAAAGCTGGAATGATTAATTAATTTGTCAGAAACTATAAGCCCTATCGGAAAGTGAAGTATATACGGTTTATGGAGAATTTCATTAGCTTTAATTTGCCGTATTTTGTATTAAGATTTTTAAATTGTTTCGTAAGATATACGTGATTAAACTGAACCAATTTTTGCTTTAAGCTGAATAACGGTAAATTGAACATATCTCGAAAACGTATCCATAGAAAAAAAAATATTAACTCCATTTTCGGAATCACCGAGCAATTCGACATAGGAATTGGATAGTGGCATCCATAGCACATTTTTGCTGTAAACCAGTGTTATCAGAGAGATAAATTTTTTTAAGTCTTCAAAGACTTTTATTTTAAAACTTATATTATAAATGTTTTCTCATAATAACTATGATATAGATAAATATTTTTAAGTCTTCAAAGACTTATATTAAAAAAGTCTTGTCATAATAATTTTAATTGTGATAAATATTAAGTTTTCAAATACTTCAAGTTTGGGACCTATATTATATAAGTCTATTCATAATATTTGAGTGTGAAAAAAGTCTTAAAAGACGGGGCTTGTTCAGGACCATTCAGGGATTAGTTGGGGACCAGTTCGGAGCTAGTTGGGGACCATCTGGGACTAGTTGGAGAGCAGTTTGGGGCCAGATGGGGCTTATTTTGGGCCCAGTTGAGGACCATATATGTATATAATATAGTCATAAACTAGGCCCTAACTGGTCCCAAAGTACTCCCCAACAAGTTATATCTAAACGATAATTATTATGAAAAATATTTATAATATAAGTCTTAAAATAAAAGCCTTTGAAAACATAAAAATATATATCTCTCTGATAATTGTTATGAAAGGACTTTGATAATATAAGTCCTTGAACAATAATTATAGATGACTCGAAAAATTTGAAGACTCAGGAATATTTATCTCGCTGATAATTACTATGAAAAGACTTTTATTATATAATTCTTAAAATAATAGTTATCGATGACTTAAAAAATATTTTCTCACATATAATTATTATCAAAAGACTTTTAAAATTCGTACGAAAATTTTTATGACTTTTTTAAAACTCCACCATGAAATAATTATCATTCTGAGTCTCTGAAGAAAACTCTATTTCTATTGGATTTTGTTCTTGTTCTGCTTTTGTGCGCGTGTGCAAACGAAACAAAAGCATAAAGCGCGCATCTGGGTGAGTAAAATTCGCTGGAATGATTCGGAAACGTTGCTTGGCGATTTTCTCATTACAAGCGACTAATATTTTCAGTACTTACGAGTATGTGCATATGATTTTCAAATATCATATTTACAAAGAATGAAATGGACAAGCCGGTTCCTGCATGATTTCTATGATATTTGGTTTTGCAATTACTCTCATTTTTGCGTTTGGTACCTATACATATGTAAATATCGCACACCTAGATCTAAAGTGGGATAACTCAAAATCAAGAGAGGGAATTACGCTCTTCATGTGTAAGAAAACGAAGCTCCTCAAGGACCGAAACAGAAATCATTTTATTTGCACTCTTTTGCTTTGCAAAGGTTCTGGTTTTAGTTTTTTCCTGTACAAAACGATTCAGATTGATTGTGACCTAAATATACAACAGCAAAACCCTAACCTCATGACCATCTTATAACACCACACACACAGTAGAGAAATTTCGCTCTCAATTAAGTTTACACGGTAGAGCAACTGCAGGAAGTATTCACTCTAGCTAGAGACAAAATAGAGAGATGTCAACATTTCTCTATCACGTACCCTACAAGCTTTTTACACGTTCTATCTCGAATCGTTGACAATGCTTATTGTATGTATCTATGTATACCAGAATCACGATGTAGAAAATAAAGGAGGCACCATCCGCAGACCACTAACCCTTCGTCGATTTGACAACATTAACCTATTCGATGACGTCATAAAATACTTCTTCGCACTAGGGCTAAAAATTAAATTCTCAAATTGTACTTTTTTACCGAAATATATAAATATGTATTTTTTTGTGTATAAATTTTTGATAGTGGGTTGTCAACCTCTCTCTTCGGTACTTTTGGACTCACATCAAGCAATTTTTTCTATTCAAAATTTCTTTGAAAGGAATTTCTCCGAGCAATCCAGCCAAAACCATATTTGTGAACACGCCTTCTGTTTAACCAATGTTTATGCCCCTTTGTAAAAGAGGGAGGCTATTAGAAAAGCAATTGAAATTTCTATGAAAATAAGAGAAAATGTCCCAATAAATTGTTTGGTTATGTGCTAAATGTACCTAAAATAGTGTGCTTATACCGAATATACGATTTAATGTGGTACAAACAGTGATGAAATTCATTGTTAAGACTTTACCATACGTCGCCGTAGAGCAAAAACTCTATTTAGCTTGCCAAATAGAGCGTAGAGTTATCGTAGAGTTTTCGATCTAGTTGCGATGGACTGTGTGCACGGCATAAAAATCTCGCTAAATAACTCTCACGTAGACTGTGAAGGTGAGTCTCTGGTAGAGCTCTATTGTGGGTTTACACGTCTCTAGCGAGATTTTTGTCTCGCATTTTTTCTCTACCGTGAACACTTAGCATAACAACTTTACACAAAGAGCTATCAGTTGACCTCTCCGACAATACTTCACTTATTAGATTGAGTTGCCTGGCCTCCATGGTACAAAACAAATACTAGAGCTTTATTTCCAAATTTCTCCTTGACTTTTTATCAACATTTCTTAGTTTGTTACTAACCAGTATTTTTGTATGTATCTATGTACTACTTCATAATTTATTTCACTCTAGGTATCTAAAATTGGCGTTTTCTCATGTGGCCCGAGACCGCTAACGAAGAGCATAATGTCCGCCTGTGATGAGGTGAATAGAACGCGGAAACTTCCATATTTCATACATCATTTTGAGAATTTCGGTTAAAATATTTAGGTTTTAAGTTTTATAGGCACTTACGGCTCATCTCATTTACGAAAAGTAAAAAAGAAAAAAACTTCAACATTGGCGCAACACACGGCCTTAGCATTTAATCATAAGTCAAAAGCTCTAATTAGTTCTGAGTCAGAGCCTACATCTTCGCTTTTTAGGTAAATTCTTCCAACAACCGTCATCGGGTTTCGAAAAGAAGATAATCGGCCTTAACATGAGTTTAATTTTCGACCGAAATCGTTCACTAATCACTTTTGGCTTATGTATGTGTAAAAGGTGTGTAGGTCTAAAATTTAATTTTAAGTACTTAATACAAAACGAAGTTAGTCAAATTATCGATTTTACTATATTTCCATCAATATGAAAAGAAGTTGTATATCACATATAAATTTGTATATATGTATTTACTCTAGAGATATGAAGAACTGTATTAAATGTGTGTTTGTGTGTATTTACTTAACCACAAAATGTATACATATGTAAGTATTGGTACTCTTACTACTACTTCACGACAAACGATGATTGTAAAATGGCATTACGATTTGTTCTTTCAACTCAAATTTATTTATTGAATCTTATTTGTTATCATTTTGTAAAAAACTGAGGTAATTATTTATTATATAAACTCATTAAATGTATATAAAATAATACTTTAAATTTATCAAAGTTGTTTGCTTTTTAAGAATGTAAACCTTTTTAAATTTGCATTTATTTAATTAGGGCATTCACAAGATATTTTACTCCCGTCTGTAAATAGGCGCGTCAGACGCCAAACAACTGTCAAACATCCTCATGCCTGTGAAATTTATATGGAGCTTTCCACAATAACGCGACGCTAGCGCCAGTAAATGGAATTTTCATTTTTGACAGGGCGTTACGTGTTGAAGTTGGATGCAGAAGACGGAAACCAAGAGAAAGGATAAAAAACGCTTGGCGCTCCAATTTAGTTAAACGTCGTAATGTCTTAAGGTCGTAAAAATGTGTGCAATTGAAAATACGTACACAAATTTTACGACTTTACGAGGCTTAACACGTCTTGTGAATCCCCTAAATATGTAATTCTTCATTTGCAGCGAGAAAGCGAAAACATTAGGAAATAGTGTATTTTTTATACCCGAGCCCACTCACAATTGGATGAAGTAAGTTAACATTTAAAATTGGAAAATGGTAATAACAGTCCCATTCCCACACAACGGTATTTTTGAAAGAAAATAATGCCGAAAACTGCGATATGTACTTCGGTAACTATTGAAGCCAAATCACTCAAAAGACCTTACAACAATATCATATTCTAGGGAAATTTTGAATAATTGAGTTGTCATGGGGATGTGCGATTAATTAATTAATCGAACCCAATTAATTGCTTAATCAAAGAATAATTACTGTTGAACCTGAATAATTTCTGCTCTACATACATATTTCTTTTTTGATAAAAAAAAACCATACACGTTTTTGGCATTTCAAAAAGCTACATATATGTGTACGTAGGAAATAGCAACCTATGTATGTCGAAAGGCTGGCTTCAGTATAATGCAAATCTTGGCAAATAAACGCGCAAGAAATATTTCCGATATTGGCATGTCAATATTCTTATTAAGTCTCATCAAAAAATTCCTTGTTGTTTAAAGAATAAACGGAATGCCGCATTATACTAACGCCAGCTTCAAGACATAAGCTACTATTCCATACGAACACAGATATGTATGTACATTAGGGTGGCCCAACATTTTTTTCCTCCAGCCACCCCCTGATCTGAAGAATATCAAAAATAAGGAGACGCGAAGTTTTTATTTTGAAATCAATTAATATCACTGGTTTACAGCACTATCCAATTCCTATATAGAATTGCTCGCTGATTCCGAAAATCGAGTTTATTTTTTATTCTATGGTCAAGTTTTCGAGATATTTTCAAATTTACTGTTATTCAGATTAAAACAAAAAGTGGTTCCACCTAACCACGTATATCTTACGAACCAATTTAACAATCTTAATACGAAATACGGAAAATTAATGCTAACAAACTTCTTCGTAGACCGTATGCAGATCTCGTTTTGATAGGTCAAATAGTTTCTGACAAACTAATTATCCATTCCAGTTTTCTCTTTTATAAAAAAAAACTGAAAAAAGTAACTTTAACAGGAGAAAAGTTTAAAAGGTAACAGGTTCTGGTAAAATTTTTGCATTTGTACTAAAGCCTTTCTGTTATAAAAAAAAAAACAAAAAACAGTATTAAATGAAGAAAGTCGATGGATCTATAAAGAAGTAATGAGTGGTCGAATGAAAATGCGCAAAGATTTTTTGTATGAAATATGAGCAGAGAAGCGTGTTACTCAGGTGTACATGGAGTATGAATAACATTCTTTCCGGCTAATTTTTCATACAAAAAATCTTTGCGCATTTTCATTTGACCGCTCATTACTTCTTTATTTATCCATCGATTTTCTTCATTAGTAACTTGATTGTATTGTTTTGTAACAAAACAGGCTCTAGCACAAATGTAAAAATTTGACACAGAACCTGTTATTTTTTAAATGTTTCTCCTCTTATAGTTTGATTTTTTCATAAAGAAATAAAAAAAGCTGGAATGTCTAATCAATTTTTCAGAAACTATCAGTCCTATCGGAAAGTGATATATATGTTGCCGGCGAAACCCGATCTAAAAATATAAACAGAACCAATGCGAATTTCGTCGGTCGGAGCGATGCCGCCGGGTGATATTCGCCGCAGCATTTCGCCCAGTAAAACAGAACAGAAACGAAATTCGCATAAAATGAATGACAAACAAAAAATTTAAAAATACAAAATCGAAGAGATGTATCACCAAATTTTGCTATTCTGAGTCTTGTAGATAATTATCTGCTAGAAAAATGGGGAAACAAAGCTACTTTTCCACTGAGAGCTGATTTTGTGACCGGCGGCAGCGGCAAAATTAAAAATAAATCTATTCTTGCCGAATTTCGTTAGACGAACTTCGTCGTGGCTTTGGTTATGTGCAGTCTCATATACTGCAGTGTGTTTTAATTTTAGTTAGTTAGGCCAAACTAGTTCTACCAACATGCGATAGGATATACCGGTTTAGCCTAGGATACACTGATCTTTCCGAAGCCGGTTTGGACAAACCGGTTAAGTCTAGGCTGAACTAGATGATGCTGATATTAATGTACTTTCCAGTTTAAGTGCGGCCTATGTTGATTGTGGTTGCAGGAATGAGCTATTTTAAATAAGCCTTACCTCGGGTGAGGCCAATAATTGATTAAGGATCGTAGGGACAATCCATTGCTTTGCATGCATTTGACAAGTAGTAGATCGTACATATATGTATATTTTCTGTTCTTTTTATGAGTAGGAAATCTAATGATGTTCTTCAACGTGTGTTCTTTTAGACATTATCCCGGAAAAATAGTTTTAATGGAATTTTTACGGGCTGGCGGTTTCTTACAAAACTTGCAAGAAAATAGCAAAGTAGGGGTAATTGAGGGAGCGAAAATGACAGCTAAACTTGCAAGTCTTACTAGTATTGTTACTGGATAAATGTTTACTAGAAACTATTTGCTAGTAAGAAATACACCTGATAGCATGATGCTGGGTGTAATTTACACTAATAAAGGAATTGTTTGTGGGGCTGTTATAGTTCAAATGTACAGAAAAAAGTAAGTTGGGATGGGCCACACTGGAGAAGTGAGACTAAGGTTACATATCTAGCTTACATCTCTGTTTTAATCTTTTATATCCTTGCTTTTATCCTTCTCTTTATCTACATATTCCCATAGATGTGAGGTGTGATGACGTGATAAGATGCCATGTGATATAATGTGAAGTGACGTGATAGGATGTTATGTCATGCCAAATGATATCATATCATGTGAGGTTCTGTCATATGATGTCACAGCATATATATCGATAACAAAGTCGATAGTAACATCGATAACAAAACAGATAAAGATATGATAAAAAATTGGGAAAAAATTTTGATAGCAAAATCGAATATCGATAAAAATCAAAATCGATAACAAAATAAATAAAGATATCGATAACAAAATATATTAAAATATCATAACCAAATCGATAAAAACATCGATACCCAAATCGGTAAAAAAATATCGATAAAAATATCGATAATAAAATCGATAGCAATATCTGTAACAAAATCGATAAAAATATTGCTAACAAAATTGATAAAATGATCGATAACCAAATCAAGAGCAATGTCGATAAAAATACCGACATCAAAATCGATAAAAAAATCTGTTAAAATGTCGATATCAAAACCGATAAAAATATCGATAACAAAATTTCAAAATCAAAATCGATAACAATATAAATAAAGATATCGATAACAAAATATATTAAAATATCGATAACAAAATCGGTGAAAACATCGATACCCAAATCGGTAACAAATATCAATAACAAAATCGATAATAAAATCGATAAGAGTATCTATAGCTAAATTGATAAAAAGATTGCTAACAAAATCAATAAAAATTTCGATAACAAAATCCAATCCATATTTATGCAGTTCATACACCTCTCAAATACTTAAATTGTCCAAATAATTTTTTGGGGTGTATCTATTCATGGGTCATTCCATTGAAAAGAGGAAAACGACATAAATTTAAATATGCCCTAATTATCTCTATTTCAGTAGTAACCTCGTTTTAAATGACTACATTTCATGAACCTGTAGAAAAATATTAGAAAAATCAAAAGAAATTGTAATTTTTGTCTGTGAAAACTTTTATTTCATGCATAATTACTTTACAGCAGTCACAAGAAGATGACCCACCAGTCACAACTTTAAATATTTTTTAATATTTCTATGAAGATTATATAAACCTCATTCTTATTGAAAACGAATGCGTACACACATACATCGTCCCACTAGTCACATTCATTCAAATGATAGTTACATAAAACTAAGAAATCGTTTGGTATTTTTGTTGAAGCAATTTTATACATTAGTTATCGGTCTATGACAAAAAATATATTTCGCTCGACGACATAGTTAAAATTCACAATTGATAACATTCTGCCATAAAATGTCCCACTAGTCAAAATGGAATGGCCCGCATAATCAAAATTTAGTTGGTTTTTAAAGTTGGTATACGGACGGCAGATTTTGTTTAAAAAGGGGGCTTGAAATGGAAGAATAGGACCACCTGATTTCAAAGCTGCCGCCGTTTTTTTCTCTTGTCAAGGGTATATAAGTGCAAACGCAAGTAAAAATTGTGATTTTTGGTAATTTTTTAAAGACCTCTTTAGGAACCCATAGGATGCCTAGGCGGTCATATTTGCATTTTTGTTAAAAAGAATGCTTCCTAAGTCGCCTTCATCAAGTTTCATTGGTTAATTCTACCTGGTTTCCTTATAATAAAGAGTGCGGCTCTATACGAAAGCCCACCCAAAGTTAATTGGAGCTTTTTTGAAAGACAACCCATTAAAAATTATGTCCAAAAGCTTCAACTAACATTAAGTATCAATTTAATTTTATATAAATTTAATATAAATCCGCCCCTTTGAGTTTCAGTCAAAATCAAAATGTTAAATATGCAAAAATTACAAACTGAATGCACAGCACAAACCAAGACGTTTGTATTTAAGGTTGTGTTACTAGATCAGCTC